TTGCTGATATATTCATATATGCATACATAGTGAACTTCCTCAATTGCATTTAAAATATGTTTTTTTTTTTTTAATTAGGGTGCTTTCTTTTCAATTCAAAAATGAAATGTATATGTGTAACTATACGATATCAAGCATATGTACTCGCACATTTATATACATTATATACTCTATGTATATAATTTATACAATAAGCAAACCTATATACATATAATACAATGCAATTGAGTGCATTTGTTACGCTTAAACTGCACAAAGGGTTAAACCGACCGATTGAGGACGAGCTTTTTTTTTTTATTTTTACCATTCATTCCATTATCACTAGTAAAAAAATTGATTTTTGATCATAAATTATACCATTTAAAAAACTAAAATGAATGAATATTTACAGCTTGTATATAATGCACATTGTATAAAATATCATGGAAATACTTATATAATATTATGAATGTAATTATTATGTATACTGCTTTTATGTATATTCAAACATATATGTGAAAGTATCCGCGCGTTTAACAGGCATAAAGATAAAACAGTAGTGATAATGCGTCATCTACTGTATATTAAAGTTATAAATTAGTGCGGGATATAAACGTGAGCCATAAATTCTCCAATGTAAGTGCATAGTATAATGTACAACTTACTGTAATTATATTTTATACAATTTGTTGGGATCTTTTATTGGCTTTTGCTCTAATTTTTTTTCCCTTATTATTTTCTTTGTATAATTATAATGTTTTTTCTTGTACTGTTTTCACTTCTTAATGGTTTAATTTTTTCGCAGAATTTTCTATTTTATTGCAAAATTATGCACATGTTAACCATATAATGTGTACATAAGTATATGTCTGAATATAATATAAGTATATATGTATGTGTTTGTAAATGCATTTAATGTGTAAATTCGAAAATATATGAAAATTAAGTTTCACTGAAATTACTGAAAAATTAGAATTGAATTGGTTGTTCTTTGAATTTGTTTTTGATTTTCTTTTCTTATGATGTGAAAAATAAAAATTATTCTTTAAGAATTATGAGTTCTCCTTTTAAAATGGAATGGCGGAAAAATAAGTTTTTTTTTTTGTATGAAATTTTATAAAGCAAAATGAATTTCTTGTGATTGTTATGAATTTGTTCTAATTTCATAATTTTTGTTCTTGATGTAGCTACTATTTTAAATGAATACTAACGTAGGAGAACAAACATTAAATTTTCGATATGAGCTGTATTAGTTCTTACTTGTTCATCCATTATAAAACAGAGGCCATTTTTCCTATTACCAAGTCATTTTAAATATAAAATTGCGCTTAACACTATATACAATTCAAATTGTAGATCCATGTTGCAAAACGTAATCTGACTTTAGTTAAATTGCTTGAGATTCTTTTTAAGAAAATTCAAATTACTATAAAAATAGTTTCATTTAGATTATGCTCTATGCAATACCAAAATTGCCTTTCTATATCGCGGAAATAAATAAAAAGTTACCTCTTATTAATAATTTTTTATAGAGAAATTACAAAATACTAACTTTCTTGTAAAATGTTTCAGAAAGAAAACTGCTGAAATTGCTAAGACCTAAAACTCCTAAACTGTATACCTTCGTAAATTTTATGGACTTTGTAAATGCACCTGATATATTATTTATGGCAATTTTTAGTTAAATATAACAAGAACTTTGTGATATTGAGTTGACATACGTCTGTAATAAAAAAAAATTCAGTTTCATATAGGACTTATTCTAAACTAAAGAATGCATGTTTTTTTAACATTCACTAAAGAACAGCATGTTAATTAACAAACTTTTATATTCTTCCTCTAATATCTTATGTCATTTCACATTGGTATAGTTAAAAGCTTATTTAGGTACATATGTATGTATGTTTAAAATTTGATTTTTTTTTTTGGTAGATGAATATGGAAAAGTATAGAGTGGTCACAAATTTGTGAGGAAACTTTTATGACTAAAAGTTACTCTGAGAACATAATTTGATCAATGTACTTAATTTTCTCAATTTGGTACACTTATATCGTTTATATTTAAATTTTTAAAATAGATATAATACAAGTTTCATAAAAAATTCAGAAGCTAATTACTAGAATTTTATAAAATCTGTATAAAAAAAAACAAATTTAGCAAAAATGTCTTATAAATTTTATATACAGATGAGGTCTTTTTTCCACAAAATTTTACAAATTTGTTTTAAATTACAAAATTTTTTTAGATTTACTAAAAAATTTTGTAAATTTTTTAATACTATAGGTATTTAATTTGTTTTTTGATTCACTTAATTTCCGATTCCAAAATTTTTAATGTGGAAAACGTTCCGCAGTTTAAAAATTTTTGGCTTTAAACTTAAAAAAGTAAATCTAGGTAGATTATGTTCATACATAATATATGCATGTACATATGTTATTTTACCTTGTTTATTAAATCACTCAATTTTGTATTTACAAATTGAAATTAAATTTTCACTCATTTACTTTCTGTTCTTAAGCTTAAATTTCTAATAGAATTATTGCATTGCATTACTTGAAATATAAATTCATGTATATATAAATTGGTTTAGGGGCGGAGCAAAGTAATAATTTTTATATGCACACTTGTAAACTGAAACATAATAGCTTTTAGGATATGAAAAGAAAATGTTCAAAGAGCACAAAATGAGTGAAAATTCGATGCGAGATTGTGTGTATTTCTTTTATTTTGGCTCTTTATTGAATTTATTCTTGTGTTTGTTTAATGTAATGTAAACGGATGTAATGTAGTGTTAGTGTAAATGAATTTAAAACAAACGTGTCGTGCAGATATAAAGTGAAATAATTTAAATATGGACGGTAAAAAGGGCGTTTCTTTATTTACTCTATATAAATGTAAAATGGAAAAAAAGAAAAAGAAAAATTATGCAATAAATTGGATAAATTTTTGTTTTACGGAAGCGTAAATTAAATTGAGAATTTTCAAGCATAAAAAAAAACATTCTCTATAGTTTCTTTTTTATTAAATAGAAATTTGAGTTACTTTTCTCAATTAACATTATCGAAAAGTAGTAATTGCAGCGGGTTGGAAATTAAGAGAAATTTAATTTATTAAAATAATCGATTTTTTTTAGAAGTAATTTGTTCACAAAAAAATTTCTTGAAGAAATTTTTTGAAGTAACTAGAATAATTTTTTTTTGTTTTTGAAAATTGAATAAGGTAAAATAGTAATTGGAGCAATTTTTTAATATTCTAAATTTTTTTACAAATTAAAAATGATAATTAATCATTTTGAAAATTAATTTTGTTCGAATATTTTTGTTATATTGATTTGATTTGTATTAAACATCTTATAGACTTGCCATACTCATAACCAAATCTCTTTTAGGAAATAAAAAATTTTTTGAAATTTAATATTCATAGTAATAAACTAAATAACTGTAAGTAAAACAAACGCTTAAAAATCCTAAAAGTTCAAAAAAAAAAAAAACAATGAAATTAAAAAAATGAAAATGCTAATAGAAAAGCCACCAGAAAAATTTATAATTCCATTAATAATCATCCAGTAATTTCCATCAGAAAATTATATTTTCTCCATAAAAACTACTCATATACGACTTCCTGTAACCATTATAACAGGTATATAACCATTAAATTAGAAAATTATTCAAAGAATCGCACACTTATACATTCAAATAAATCCAAATGAAAACTATACACATTAAATAGCCATATTATGTTTGTATGATTGTGTACAATGAAACTCAGATTATTTTTTATTCGTTCAGTTTAATTTGAAAAAAAAAAACAAACAATATATGGAAATGGTGAATATAAAAAAAAATTTGACATCAATCAATATCATGAAATTCTTTACAATAATCATTGTCCAATTCAAAGCTTAAATAATGTGTTTTTTTCTGATTCAATAAACGGCAACAACGAAACAAAATAATAATAACGACTACTGGTAATAAAACTCACCTTTTCCATGTTGATTTTTTTATTTTTGATGTACATTTCACATTTTACTGTATGTACACACATAAAAACATATTATACTTTAGAATAAAATATGTATTTCGAATTTTCGACAGCTATATAATGCAACACCATCAGTAGCATTACTCTTAAATACAAAAAAAAAATATCAAACAGAAGCGCTATACTTATTTTTGTATTCTTATTAGGTGTATACATATTAACAATCGACCAGTTCATAAAACTATGTAATTTTATACTCATATAAAAAAATATATACAGTAAATGAGTAAAATTATAACACCACACAAACACAACTTTATTTCAAACACAGTATGTTGAATATAAGTTGAGTAAAATTTTTTTTGAAAAAAAATTTTAATTCCATTTTATATTTACTTCATTCAAAGTTTGTAAAGATGTATATGAAAAATAGGTGAAAAGGTGTTAAAATCTTTAGACATTGTATAACAGTGTATGTAAAAACTCAAAATTAAAGAAAATCTCATAAATTTTTAACAGTATTAATTTCATACTTTTATATATCGTACTCTTTCAATTTCTTTTATATACGGTAAACTTCAACACATTCAAAACAAAAAAACTTTATATAAAAATTTACCTTTTTCGTTTTGTCAAATTGACAAGCACAATTATTGGATAAAGTGAGATAGATAGTGTATAAGGGAAAAATAGAATGAAATGAAAATATGATTGTTCTTAAAGTAATTTGACAGGGTTAAACCGAGTTCGAGAGGATTTTATAAATTCAGTTTATTGTCGGATGTTGAAATGAATGTTTAAACTGATAATTTAAGTAGAGAATCCGGGTTTAATAAAAAAAAAAAGAAGTGAAGTGAAGAGGATTAAATTTCAAATGATTATGTGTACAATACTAAATTAAAATATATTTTAAATTTTGTTTAAATGCATAAAAAATAAATTATATTAAAAAAATAAGATTTTGAAACAAGAAATAATTTGTGTACAAGAAAGTTTAAAAATATTTTATTAAAAATTTATTTACAAAAAAAAAAAACAGAAAAAAAAAATTGTTTAAAAAACTGATTGCATTGTTAAAAGAAATTTATTTTATAACATGTTAGTCGGACCAAATATTGAAAGTGATTTTGGAAAATTACCAACAACACCTTGGCATATGAAACATATACCTTTATTACCATCTGATGGGGGATTAATTTCGCCCTCATCATTACCATTACCAACGTCAACAGGTAAAAGTTAAAAAACCAGAAAATTTAACCCAATATTAATAGCCAAATATTTTGGGGTTATTTAATTTTTTTTTTTTTTTTTATATTAACGTACCAAACCCGACGGGATTTTTAATATTGTTTGGTTTATATAATTTTAAAATATTTTGTCTGAATTGAAATGTGGGTGTAAACATAGTTTTATTTTAAAATACTTAAGTAAGAATAATATTGATATTGGATATTGATATTGAAGTACTTTTAGTGAAATAACATAAGATTGTCTTTTATTAAAACTTTGTTGGAAAGAAATCATTATGTAAGAAATGGATTCTTTCCTTATGCAACCAATAGAAAGTCACTTGTTCAAGAAAATAGAAAAAAGCTATTATTAAAAATTTAGATAAAATATTTTATTGTAGTTCCATATAAAATATCTACCTAATTGCAAACTAAAATTTAAAGGTATTGTGAGCAAATTATGCACAACGTGCTCTCTATTGTGCATATCAGCAATAAACTTATTTTGAAAATCAAAAATTATTACGCTTATTATCTTATAAACGTTAGTTGTAAGCGAATAGTGAATTTGCAAAATAATTTGACTAATAATAACTTTCGAATTCCTCACGAATTCTTATAAGAGAAAGTTACTCAAAGAAAGTAATTTTTTTTGTAAAATCAGAATCTTGTTAGCTTGAGTATTGCATTTAACACTTTTGATTGATTTTATTGACTTAGATTTAAAGAGTATAAGTCAGTAAATAAAACTCGTTATAATGGTTTCAAGATACAGATTCGAATATAGAACTAAAGTACCTACAAAATTTTGTTATTGTATCAAAGAAATTAAAAAATAATTTCTTGTTTTTCTTTTAAATGAAATCATCTTTGCTTTCACTAAAAGTTCAATTTCACATGTTCACAAATATTAATAGTTAGTTGGATGTGTCGCCTTTATCGCACAAATAATTCTTCTTCAAATTCAAAATTTGAAAAATTCAAAAAAACAATGAAATTTAAAATATCATGGAATGCTAAAAATTACGGAAAATTTGTTCAAAATAAGGTCTGCATGGCAGACTATGATTTTATACTTTTTTGTACCAATCATTTGTGAATATTTATTACAACTTACATACATATTTATTACATATGTATGTATGTGAATATTTTTTATTTTTTTCTTAACATGTTCACCAATATTCTTTTAAACGCATCATTTTGCGTGAATGCATAAATTTTGTAATTTTTGGAATAAATTTCAATTCGCATATAAAATTTTTCAATTTAGAAATTCTATACTAAAAACCTCAAAACTTTTAAAGAATAATCCCGCCTCCCCCCTTACTAATTCAAGTTATAAGCCTAAAACAATATGAGTGATATTTAAAAAAAAAATTTACATAAAATTATAAAAAATTTTGTGCTATATGCTAAAGAAAGATCGGAGATAGAAATTTGAAACTAAATAGGTACATACATTTAAGACTAAAATTAAATAATATTTTGTCTAGGAGCATTGCAAAGCCTTTAAAATAATTTATAAAAAATTATTGCAACAAAAGAATGCACTTCTATGAGCTCAACATTTTTTAAACGATCTTGTGGTATTTTAATCAGCTGTTGAGATATTTTTGCTATTTAATATTTAAAAAAATTTAAGAGACTTTAATAAAATAATTACTTATTTGGTTTATTTTTGTGAAATCTATAATCTATACAAACATTTCAAGTGTTGCAACAAGATATTAAGATATTTATTACATAATAAATTTTTTATATTGTTAAAATTTTATGTGTCCGTTTCCTTTTCCGTAAGTGTTAAGAACAGGAATTATTAATATGTAAACAACAATGCAAATTAATGTTAAGTTAAATAATTTGTTATCAATCTGACGCGTGAATCAAATTATAATTTGATTATTAGAATGCTTATTGATGTTATGAGAATGGCAGTACTTTCGATGTATCTATAATTATAAAGTAAACGCTAAATAACTTTAATGAATAATAAGATCTTTCTTGATATATTTGCTTAACTGGTCAAAAAGAATATTTTAATTTTATAAAAATAATAAAATCCTAATTCTTCGTTCACTTTTCCAGTTGGAGTTCCACCAATTCTACCAATGGCGGGTGTACCTCCATCTGGTGCATTTGTACACGGTACTAATCCGACATCATTGCAGTTAGCTGAACAGCATAGAATTTTAGAATTGTCAAAATTCGGGCTAAGAGATTATAACTTAGCTCAGCATGTTTTAAACCAACAGGGAACTGTTTCAAAAATACTAAGTAAAATTTTAATTAAACAAATTAAATATATACAATATAGAATAACAAATAAATTTTATAGATTCATTGCGTCCAGCTGGTTTAATAGGTGGTTCAAAACCAAAAGTAGCAACACCGGCAGTGGTTTCAAAGATTGAACAATATAAAAGAGAAAATCCTACAATATTTGCATGGGAAATAAGAGAAAGACTAATATCAGACGGTAAAAATTAAGTTCAATTGAAAGTATTTTGGAATGAAATAGAAATTTTTTTCATTGAATATTTTAGAGGTATGTACTAATGCAACAGCACCATCAGTTTCATCTATTAATAGAATTTTAAGAAATCGTGCAGCGGAAAGGGCTGCAGCTGAATTTGCTCGGGTCACAGGTTATGGTATTTATCCGCATTCACCATATGGCAGCTTCAGTTGGCCACCAAATTCCATCTCCCCAGGACACATGTGGCCAGCGCCTAGAATACCTTTACCTAGTATTTCCTCTACAGGAACATTAAGAACAACTTCACCAGATTCTGGCAGTAATGACAGTTTAGGATCACCACATTCTGAGAGACTAATAGGTAATTATCACGAAATAGTGTAATTTCTACATTTGTCTTCTAAAATCACATATCTAATTTTGAAATTTTCTTTTTTGTTTTGATTTTAAATTGAACATAAAAGATGTCGAGGGCGAAGATTATGATTCTCTGGATGAGGATGATGATGGGCAGCCAAAATTTCGAAGAAATCGAACAACTTTTACTCCTGAACAACTAGAAGAGCTTGAAAAAGAATTTGAAAAATCACATTATCCCTGTGTAACAGCTAGGGAGCGGCTAGCAATGCGTACATCATTAAGTGAGGCTAGAGTTCAGGTAGGGATTCTTTTAACCATATCTTAATCGATTCATTATTCACTCTTTTTTCTTGACTATGGTTTGAAATTTTCTTATTTTTTTTTTTAATTTTTTCTCTATATGATGCGGTTCTTTCACATATTCTTAATTGTCATTTGTAAGATTTAATGCTTTTTCTTAAATTAGTTTAAAGACAAAAAAAATCAATGTAGCTAAAACAAGTAATTTTTCTAACACGAAACGCACAAAGTTAAATGTTTTGTCCATTTTATTTTTTTGAAAAACTAACCATAAATTCGATTCGCATTGATTAATCAATCACAGGTTTGGTTTTCCAACAGACGAGCAAAGGAGAGACGTCATCAGCGTGTGAAATTATTGAAGCAGCAGGATCAACCAATGGCGACTGTAACATCATCGCATCCTGTGAATCAGCATCAAACATCAACCCAGCAAACGGCGTCACATTATCAATTGAATCTCTCACATCATCTAAATTGCGACCTGACATCACAACATCAATCTATAAACAGCACGAACCCATCAATAACAACGATAAACAACAACAATTCACTTATCAATCAAAATCTATGTTCGAAAACAGCAACGCTCTTAACGACACCAACAATATCAACGTCGACAACAACAACAACACCAACAACAATAACCACATCATCAACTTCAGAAACAGTAGCATTAGTAACGTCAACAGCAATGTCAATTCAGAATCAACAAATCTCACCAATAACAGCAGAAAAATATTCAAAGAACACCAATTACCTTCAAAGATTACATCAACAAAATCTCCAGCAGTCTTTGCCGAAAAATATCACCCATACAAAAATGTTACAAGAGAATACCGAAGCAACAATAATGCAACAACAATTATTGCGGCAGACAGAAATATCACATCAGCAGCATCAATTGCAGCAAGCCCAACAACATCAATCAACAATTCAAATACAACCAAAGATAGCAACACAACATCATTTATCAAGCACAGCATCAATTCCATTATCAATGGGAGGTGAAAATAGTGCTTTTAGATCATTAGTGCATCCATCAGCGGCTGCATTTACTTTAGGGCTGTTTCGACATTATATAAATGAAACTTTAAATAATAGCAGTAAAGGATATTTAGAAAATAATATTAAAAATAATGATAATGACGATGACGATGATGTTGTAAATGTTGATGATGAAGTTAGAGAAGATATTGAGTGTTAAAATACGTATACTATTATATACCTACTTTAGGTCTTCATACATTCACATATACCTTAACATGGATTATTTTTTGTTTATATTCCTAATTATCCTGTGTATAAACTTAGTATTTTGTTGTGCAATTTATGTTTTTCATTTTTATATTTTGTTTAGTTTTTAGAAGTGTGTAATTTTTATTACTATATGTTAGAGAATAGGAAATAGATGATTGTAAGGTAGTAAGTAGGAGCAAATATATTAAATTTTTCCAAAACTATAGTTATGTTTAAGTGTAATGTGAGAATACTATATATGTAAAATTATTATATTAAACAATTTAAAAACGCTATATTCTAAATTAAATAAAATAAATAGAGAAATATAAAAATTTAAATAAATTTGTCTTTAAATTATTAAAGAAGAAAGGTGTGATATTGCTATAAGGTGTAATTCAAATTGCGTGGAATTCTGGATGAGATCAGTGGAATTCGTAGAGTATGGTGGGGTATAACATTTTAAACCTATCGTGTTGTCTTAATATGCATATACGAATTAATTTATAATTCGTCCAGTAACTTAAAGAACAAAGGTTGATTCTGAATGAGGAAAGATAGTTTTGGGTTGGAAATTTAAAAATTTAAGGAGTAAAATAATACTTTAAAAACATAAATGAAAAAATATTTTTTATATTAAATAATTTGTTTTTTCTATGACACGTCAATTTGGATTAAAATAACAATTGTAACTTTACATGAAAACTAAAGTAGTTCAAGTTTTTTCTTAAAAATCAAATCAAAAAATTAAGTAATTTAATTTGTTCAATAATGAAGAACAAGTTTTTGAAGGAGTATATGTAGAATGTTTTGATTACATTACAAAAGTATTAGTAAATCGATTTTTACAATATGAATTTAGCCTAAACTACAACTATTCTGTGCAGTAATTTGGACAGAAAATAAGATAAAAGAAAAAATTTATTTAGGCAATAATCTTTAAATCCAATAATCAATAAGATTTTAATTTCAGGCTGTAAATGAATTAAGTTATGCCAATTGTAAATTAAATGTGAATATATTAGGAAAACCCTTTATTTTATTATTATTGTTACTAAGGCCTGGGTAATATTAAGTGGTATGGAGTGGTGCAATGATTAACTAATAATAGTAATACAAAACTAAATGTAATAAAAAAATTAGTCATATGATCCAAGTAAACAAAACAAATTGTTGTAGTAGGAAAATCACTGAAAATATTTTTCCTTCCCTTAAAAGAAATAAGCAAAAAAATGCAAAAAAAAAACAAAAATGGCGATTGTACGATCAATACAATTGTGACAGAAATTTAACAGATGAGAATATTTTTGCCTGCAAACATGGGAGAAATTTGTAATCAAAACAAAAAAAAATTGATTCATACAGAAAAAACAGTTGTACCAAATAACAGAATAATGCTGCAAACTTAATAATAACAATGAAAATTATTGGGGATAGGCGGAAATCACTTTAACCTGTGGCGCCATATAAGAACAAATATAAGAAAGAGGAAGTTGTCATTGCTTCAGTAATTATTACATAGAATATTTATTGCATTATTTTTATTTATTCTTTTAAGTACACTTTATGCACTTTTAAAATCAAAACAATTCTTTTGTTTCTTTTTTTTAATATTTTTGTTATATGATATTTATATACATTAATTAATTGCGTATTCGTATGTAATTTCAGAGCATAGAAAAATTCAAGAGAATGAAAAGTTTTTATACAAAAAAAAATATGGAAGTGAAAATTTGATATTCCAGAAAAAAATAGTATACAAAAAAGAAATTGTGAGATGTGAACATGAACAAGTGATGTTTAGTTGTAAAGCACGTGAAATAACGTTAGAAATTTACACCATTACATATTTGTAAATAATGTTTAATATTATGTACATACGCCCACATATATATATACCTGACTTTAACTGAGCTTGATCATATTATCAAATGGTTTGTGTAAATTAAAAAGAATTAAAATTTCAAGATTAGATGTAGATTTCAAGACTAAAACATTCTGATGTAATGGAAGCAAATATTATAGAGCTGTTTGTGCCTCGCAAAGATGAATAAAAAAAATTCATTTCTTTACTATTGGAGTAAGTATGCAAAATAAACTATGTATGTAAATAAGTATAAGTGTGCTAAGCAATCATCAATTTTCCGAATTTAATTTCGGGAATGAAAATGAAGTGATGGATGATAAGTTTAATATCAAGTTGGAGAGGTTAGAAGTATTTACTATTAAAATTAGATTCTCATAGTTTCTGAAAAAATTAAAAATATTTCAATTGTCTCTGAACAATTGGATACAATTGAAATATTTTTAATTGTCTCCAATTGTTGGACTTGTAGTCTTTTAATTTTTAAATTGTTTTCTGTTTGTTTTTGCTGTCTTTGCTTTTTCGTAAATTTAAAGTTACTTTTTTTATTTTAATTGGTTCTTTTTAATTCTTATTTTCTAAATTTTTGAAATCGGATGCAAAATTCAAAACATAAAATTCCATTGAGAGAGTAATAATCAAAATTTCGTGTCAATTGATTGACATGAGCGACAATTGAAAATTGATTTGGTAAAAATGAATAAGTCGAATTTGGTTATTCAAAAAATTGCAATCAAATGTTTTTTATTCAAAATGTTTTTAAAATTGCAATCAAATGTTTTACAATAGTTTGGAAGTAGAATTTTGTACTTGTATGTGTGTTCATTATATTCAATATTATTATAACTTAATATACAATACTAATAAATATTATACAAGTAATTTTCAAATATTCGTAATATTCCATATTAAAAAAAAAACTAAGAAAAATAAACAGTAAATATTAATAACCTCAAATAATTAATATAAATAAAACTACGGCAGATTAGTCACCTACCTAGTTAAACTCTATGACGCTATGAAACTAGTGCATGAGAAATCATGCACTAGCCCTATGCTCCTTCTAGGAGTGAATAAGGAAAAAAAAAAAAAAAAAAAAATGTGTGTTCAGTATAAAAATTTAAAAAAATTGTCATCCTAAAGAACTATTTTAAGTAATTGAAGCTAGTTCCATTACATTACGTGTGAGTATAAGTGAAATTTCATGAAACTAAATTTGATATTTAGAATTTTAAAATTTTGAATTTTGTTGGCCTATTTTATTGGCATATTTATCTCATACATTTTATGCTACTACCTTTATGATACAACCGTTTTTTAATTTTTTTTAATTTATTTTACTCTGGAATCATATTGGTTTCCATTTCTGATTTTATTTGAAATTTTAATTGTACCTCGGTAATGCTATTTCGTTCTTATTGATTTCTATATAATCACTTATTCCAAATCAGCTAATCATCATAATAGTCGTTTAATCCAATGGAAAAATATTCTTTAGACTTACCTTTACAAATAAATGAAGAACGAAATGATTTCCAGTATAACAAAGAACGAAAAATAGAAAAGGATGTTAGTCGGTTCGGTGTATATATGGAAATTAGATCTGAAATTTTTCTTACAATACTTGCACTTAAAGAAGAAAAGGGTATAACGTGTTAAAAAATAAATCCTGAATTCATTCAAATATCAAATTTCATAATATTAATATTTTAAAATTAATTTTTCCAAATAAATTTAATGTTATTTATTAGTGAATAATTTTCAGTAATTTTATGTACATACTCGAATATTGTTAAAGCAAAAAAAAAAATAAAAAGAAAAAAAGCAAGAGGTATGCGTACCCAATTTATAACATTTAATAAAATCCAATTTCCAGGTTTTTTACGGTTACCTTCCGTTTAAGAATTTTAATTATTTTGGACACTTTTTCGCGAATTTTCGTCGCCTTCTGTAGTCAATTTGATAATCATAAAAATATTGGATGATGATATTTTTTTTTTGTTTTTCGTTTCTTGATTTTATTTTTAAAGATTAGTTTGGAGCTGTCATGCGGGTTTTAGGAGTTTTGTTTTCTTTTTTTTTTTAATTTTTATTGAATATATTGAAGAATATATAGAGAATTAATTGTCAAATTAAAGCAAACAAGATCAGAATGGAATCAGATATTGCATGAAATTTCGGTTTAAAAATGACTCATATCGAATTCGAAAATACATGTAGTGTCAGTCGGTATTGTACCTAAATAACGATTGCTTTTTATTTTGTACAAAGATGAGTTTGAAAAATTCTTGTAATTTAAATTATGGTTGGTTAAAGTTTTGTTTGATTTTTAATTTATTTGATTTGATCTTTTGTAGTGTATTGAAATTTTATATGTGTGTACTCATAGAATTAATTATAAGTAAAAAAAAGAAGATTCATGAAAATTTTTATGAGCTGTTAAATATTTGTGTTCTGGAATTACTATCAAAAGTTTCCTAATTCGAGTTTGGCAACGCTTTATTTGATTTTAAACATAAATACTCTTTTGTTTAGATTACACGACCTTTTAGAGGTAACGACCTTTGTTCCGAAGTCATAGATTACTCAAATTTTAATTTTCCAAGCTAAGCTCAATGATTGATTACGTTTAGCTTTATCTATCAAAACTTGTTCATCGTACTTTACTAAGTTCTAAAATTTTGAATAAAAATATAAAGGGCAAAATATTTTTTTTAAATATTTTTTTTTCGAATTAAGTCCAAGTTTTCAACTTATAAAAAAATCGGTTATATTGCTTGGACGTGCTTTTATAAATTGAAGAATTAAACGCATTTAATAATAATTTTATAATCGTGGAGTTAATTTATTGTAAGATTATTTAAATAAGGTTATTCTTCACAATCATATGTAGTAGCGTAGCTAACGTAATGTAATTGAGTGGAATGTATGCTGTTATGATTTACGTAAGGTTCGCTCATCAATGTACGCCTTTACCTAAATTGTTTTGTAACATTATTATTGCAATCAAATTCATTTATGAAAAGTTTTTATTGAATCGTGATTCAAAATATTGTATGTAGATATTTTACTTCAATAATATACGAAAACAACATTACCTACAATTTATTTTTTTATTATTTAGTATGGTCTACGTCTCAGCGATCACTGATATTTTACCAAATTTTACAAAGAATATAATTGAATATCGTAACAAATTAAGTTATCACTGTTTTAGTGAAAAAATGATGAATTTAGCAACAGTCCCATTTTAAAATAAATCACAATTTGGGATTAATTGTTATGTCAAAATAATTTATAATTACATTTTTGATATTTTCATTTCTAATCGGTAAAATTTTGATTTTTGTTTTCATATTTTTAAATTATTTTCAAAGTTTTGCTATTATTTAATTAATCCGAGTAAGAGAACTCATTTT